CAGCACCAAAAAATTAAGAAAAAAATGGAAGTCTCCTTCTTTCTCCTTTTCTCCCAGCCCTCAGTGACCTCACTCAGTGGGCCTGGTGAATTCCAGGCTGCCTCTGGCTTCTAATCTCACGGCTACTGCCTCCACTGTTGACTTGTTACGTCAGTTCTCAGAAATACGGTTTCCTCATTTTCAATAAGGGAATGACCTCTCATTTACAGGGTTCCCAGGCAGCTCAAGAGCAGAATTTAAATAAAGCACAAAGTAGGTGTGCAACAATGTGATCCCCTCTCTTTGAGCCTCTGTTGCTGGGAAACACAGACCCAAACAAGAATTTCAGTTTCCTTATACATAAATAAGCAGATCTGTAGATACAATTACAATCTAGTTACATTTTAATGTATCCTTATCTTGACTTTATCATTTTTATTTGAATTTTCTCGATCCTCATTATGTATTTTTTTACTGTGCTCTTATTTATTTCCCCAAATTTTCCTGAGCCTTGTTTGTTTCTTTTTAACTATTATTTTATTGTAGGTGCTCTTGTTATTTCCCTAAATCCTTCATGAAACTAGGTTCATAGACTCTAACTGATATCAGATAAAATTAAACCTTATTATAACTTGTTAAATACCTGAACAATCTGGGCCTCGGGGGTCTCTCTGAATCTCATCTGTTTGTGGGGTAGTGATGAACCTTCCAGCTACCTCATGACACAGGAATGGGGATTATTCACAAGTATTCTACAGAAGAATATCATAAACCAGACTGACAATTAGAAACACTTATTACCTTGTAAGACAAGTTCCAACTATCATCACTGTAAGTTCTATACCCCTCCTTAAATGATACCCAAGGACTCAGAGCACAAAGGCAGACATATATAAAGCTGGGAGAAGATGGTTATTGAAGTCCACCTCCAGAATCTCCTCCCATGCCTGTAGCAGGACACTTCATAGCCCTGTGTCAGATTATTGTTGGAGATGAATTGGTTTTGTCCATTATACATGGAAAGATTCCATCAGATGGAAGCATAAAAATAAAGACAGTTAACTAAAGGTGGCCAGTGAACAAATCAGTCTGTCAAATGCAATCTGCAAAGGGTAGACAGCCAAGAATTCTTGTCATAAGGGTTCAACAGGGATTTGTTTTAAAGCATTTTGTTTTGGATTGCAAATGAACAAGGGGAACATGACGCATGAACGCAAGAGATAAAGATGATGTAAGTATAATATATAAGGAATTCACCAGAAGAAGACTCAGAAAACAATCCTTGTGAGCAAAAGATCACAGGAAAACAAAACAAAACAAAAAACCTAGTCAGGCACCAGTGGCTCAAGCCTGTAATCCTAGCTATTTAGGAAGCTGAGATCTAAAGATCCAGGTTCAAAGCCAGCCTGGGCAGGAAAGTCTGTGAAACTCTTATCTCCAATAAACCACCAGAAAACCGGAAGTGGCACTGTGGCTCAAGTGACAGAGCACTAGGCTTGAGCTGAAGAGCCGAGGGACAGTGCTCAGCCCCAGAGTTCCAGCCCCATGGCTGACCAAAAAACAAACAAACAAACAAAACCCCCCAAACCAAAAAAACAAAAAACAAACAAGCACACAGGGCAGGATGATCAAAACGAGATTACTTAACACAAACCAGCATTTGTTGAAGTGGAAAAACAATGCACATTGTTTGTCCTTGATGTGTGACGTGCTCTCCTGTGTTGGACAGTCCCAAAGCATGCCATGGCGATAGCCCATGTCTGACAGAGCCCTGTCATCTCACTCGAGGCCCTGGGGTAACGATTCCTATATGACACTAGGAAGCGTGACTGAATAGATACTGCTAAATGCACAGGCACTTAGATTACCCCAGGAAATAAACCTACACAGGAAGAGACAGAATTTGAATTAAGCTAGGGCCTACCTGTTCAATAATGAAATAATTGCTCGAGGCACGTTCTGTAATCTTTCTTGATGTAACAACTGTTCTTGTGCCCTCCCTCTCTCAAGGCTGCTTTAAAATTTGCACATACTCTCCGGGCCTCTTAAAGACACCAATTCACAAGCCAGACAGTCACTTCCCTAATGTCACAAAAATAGATTCAATTTTACATACATCAGGGTGATTTTAGAAGCAATTTCTACATCTCCAGTATAAGCATTACTTACATTTTTTTTTACCCCTCTCAAATCTCATCCCAGAAGTTCCACAGGGCATTTTAAAAGGTACATGATACATTTTAGGATGTTCAAAAAAATCCCCAGAGTGTGTTTTTAGCTGCAGCCTGAAGATGCCAGATGCATAGAAAGGGTTTTTAAATATCCAGCAATTCAAACAAATGCAAAATTCCATAATAATTGAGTATAAGTCAACTGAAATTTATTTTTTTTTGTTTTTTAAAAAATCAACATCATTAAAATGCATGTATACACACAGACACATATGTGTGTGTGCATCTGTGTGTATGCATTTGTGTGCATGTATGCATAAACATAAAATACACACATACAGTCATTTGGAAAGATTGTCTTTAAAACATCTAATTAGAGTCTACTGCATAAATTCTTTTTCTCCCTTTCTGTCTAGTGAACCTGTCTCACTCTTGAGCATTTTGATCTTAAAGGTCTTAAGTGTTGGCTCATAATGAAAACAGCCTTTGATCAGAAAGCTTGAGACCAACCTTCAATTTTAGGGTCACAATGAATACCATGTGACTTCAACCATAGTCTTTGGTGTCTTCTCAAGACACTAATGCAAAAGGAATAAAAATGTACATATGAGGATGGCCTATATAGTAAACATTTGGCCCGCACAGGTACTACTTAAACAGTATTTTCAACCAGTTAGACTTTCAAAGGAACTTCTCTGTCCCTGTACCCAAAGCAGGAGAGTTCATGACAACTTTATATAGCCAGAGGGTCAGCAAACTCAGGATGAGCTTTTCTTTAAGGATAAACAAGCCCATTTTCTCACCAGCCCCTCTCTGCTTCTCCTGGTCAGCCACCCCTATCTGAGTCCCTGGGGGAAATATTTGAACATCAGCGATTTACCTGAATTACAAATGGAATGGTTGCATTGTTCAGCATACCACATATTTTTCAAGAATAATAAGTCAAATATTTGCTTACAAAATAACCTATAGACTTTGGACTTGGTCTTTAGAAGCTATTTTCCATCCTTAAGAAATACTCAACCTGAGCCTCCTCAGTAATGGACACTGTGATACTGTGTGATATGACACAAAGAGAAATATACAGTATCACCTATATAGTATTTCTGCCAAAACATTTAACTTGATCATAATAGAAAACTCAGACAGGTCTGTATTGTATTCTATGAGACATCCTCCCCAGAGTTTGAAAAAAGGAAAGTCAGAATCCTGGAAGAAAACATAAAGTCAGGAGGTCTCTTCCATATGAAAGGAGATAAGCAGACAAAAGCAAATAACAGTATGAGCATCTTGGACTAGATCCTGAATTTTAATAAACAAGCATAGATACAAATAAGCAAAAGAGAGACAAGGACATTTTGTGGATAAAGAATGAATGCACTATACACTGATATATTAGATAACAAGGAATCTTGTTATATTGAAGAATTTCCTAATTGTTAGAAAATGAATGCTGAAACCTCTGGGCGTGGATAATCATGACATCTACAATTCCTACATGCTTCAGAAAATAGACACCCATGAGGGATGTATAGGTATTCTTTTTGTAACAACCTCAACATTTTTTAAAGTTTAATACGATCTCTTTCTAAACACAGCGTATCATCATCTGAAAATAGACATTGCTTTCCATAACCAGGGTGCCAGTCAGAACCATCTGAATGAGTTTACATACTCCACAGCATTCACTGTCTTATTGCTCATCTTAACGAAGATGTCCGCTCAGTAGATAATGGAAGTACCCCGATGTATGCATTTTGAAAACCACCCCAACGTGGATCCTACACTGTAGATGGGCTTAGGAGTCATGAGGTACTGAGGTACTCTCAGAACCTGAATGATCAGGATGGGCTGTGTGGCTCTAGGAAGTTGAGCTAAACACACTTACCCTTGGATATCTTACCTATAAAATAGGAACAATGAGTGAGATTGTGTGCATTTGCAAAGAAACACTTTTTCTTTCTTCATCTTCTTCTAGACCCACATCATTTCAAATGGACCACATCTAAAGTAGTTATGATCCACTATGGTCTTTTCCATTATGAAATTTATGTATGATCATATCCAATTAGACTTCCAGAATTTTCCCAGCTTGTAGTTGAGGCTGGAGAATCTATCTTATTAAATCTAAGAAGGAACTGGCTTACAGAACTGGTTTACAAAGGCCAGCTCTTTTGGGATTGTTCTCCAGACTAGCCTTGTAAATGATGTCTCACCTCTTTTGGATGAGAGGTAGCCATAAAATCTTAACCACTCAAATTGTCTCAGGATTCTATATTAACTCTACATGAGGTCTTAGGTAGGTATGACCAAATACCACTTAGAACTGGCTAAGGCTAGATCCAAAAGCATGACTTCGTCTGGCTATGTAAACTCATCGACCATAGGTCTTTGGAGAGAAATTATTTCACCAAGCTACAGTTTCCTAAGCAGTCCAAGTAAAGGCAATAATAATGCATGACTCACCTGCCTTACTGGCTAAATGTGAACAAGCTTTGAAATTTCCAAGTCCTCAATTTAGTGTGGAATTTATTTCTCTTCTGGGGCATAGTCCTCCTCCTCTTCCTTTTTGTTTTCAAACTATTATTATTTTAAATCTATTTCTATTGAGGTTCACAAGCACATACCATGCGTGGCTCCCATTTCCTCCATTTAAAAAAAAATGTAGATTCTTAAATACTTTTTTTCACCCCTGATGGGCTACCCTAAGCTTTGCCAGAAAGAACCATCCCAGGAAAACCTCCTGATCCTACTACTCACAGCCCTCGACCACCATGAGGTATCCACAGGGGAAGTATTGGAGCCAAGCTGGACCACAGATATACCTTGCTCTTATTTGGCTCAACTTACTGAATCCATTAACGTCCTGAGAACTAGAGGAGAAGCCTTCATCATTGCGGTTGGCACTGAGCTTGGTGTTGGGTTTGTCAGCTGAGGCCACAGGTCCCATCTCCCTCTGGGCTCCACTCTGTGTCTCCTTCTGTTTCTTGGCCAGCTTCCTTTGGGACATGTGCAAGGGAAAAATCACAGTTAGATGGTGCCAGTTACATGAGAGCATTGGGGAGATAGGTTGCTTTGCTTTCCTCTTCTAACTTCTCCTCCTCAACCTGCCACTCTTAGTCACTGTGCAGAAGTAGCATCAAGGAGACCCTCCAATGTCAAGATGGAGTATACTTCAGTCCTCCTGACATCATTCATGGCTTCCTTTTACTAGGAAATATGAAGCTCATACTGCTTTATCCCCTCAAATAGGTATGTTCTATGTTTGAGTTTAATATGGTAAAATCAGTGATGTTTTCCACACTGTTTTCAAAGAGGTCAGGTTAATCTTTCTGTCCTCATGCTTCTCTCTGAATAGGAGTATAAACAGAGCCAGCCTTTCTGAGAGATGAACTCATGGAAGAACTCCGGAACAAATAAATGGTGGACTGAATAAGAGGCAAGTGGCTGGTGGTAAGTGAAGGCAGAATTTAGCCACAGAGCTCAAATCTGACCCCGATGCATAGCACTTTCCATAGCAGCAACAGAGCCTTGGAATCAAATGGGCATATCTTTTTGTAATCATGATCATAATGTAAAGAAACAGTTCTCAACCTTTGGTGTAAATATGAATCACCTGGAGAGTTAAAATAGTACACAGAGGCTCAGTCTTAGGGAAAAAGAACGGGGCCTGGACCTGGGAGTGGTCACCAGGTTCCTGGTTAGTCACCTGTCCCAGGAAAAATTCATCTATCACTTCACATCCTGAACTCTTCTGCCAAACAGTAGGACCAACATGATAGCATTGGTAAGGATTAAATGAGATAATGCATACAATACACAGAGCCCCTAATGCATAGTGAACAGCACACAGACAGCAGTTGCTATTTGTTATTATATTATACCAACCACATTTCAACATCTCATTTCTCTCCACAGTAGTTCCACTGCAGAATTCCATCTCTCCCTGTATCACATCAAGGGATGGAGGGAGACTTTGACTTCTGGCTAGAGAACTGAACAGTTAATCCTTCTGTTTGCTTCCATTTTAACTGACAGTTCTTGGCTCTATCATTAGACATAAAAAAATGTGACTAACCCTTCCTTGCACACAATAGTGATTTAAATATTTCCAAAAAGGCCAACATAGTCCCTCTAGGTTTTCCCAACACATGCATCCAAATATAGCCATTATGTTTCGATCACATGGAAAGCTATAGGTGAAACTCAAATATTTCGAGGGTCCATTCCTCTGGGCTGCTTATTCCATTCTTCTTCAAACCTGACTTCATATTCAATCTTGGTATCTCTCTCTCAACACAAAAATACCCCTACCCATGTCAAAGCGGGTGCATTGTAGAGATTGTCCTACATTGGGCTACCTGACTGGGAGATAGGCCATTCTGAGTGGTAGTGAGTGCTTTTGCCAGAGGTATCTTCAAGGAAAAGCTAAGCCTAGACATAGAATCCTGTTAGAGGAGCTCATCTAGGATCACTCCTATCTCACAGCACTTGTTTTAAAACATGGGGCCTTTGATGTGGGTGCACATCATAGGTAGGGAATGATGGATGACACACTCAAATGAGGGTATTTGAGGAGAACTGGTTTAGAAAAGGAACTCTCACCAATGCAGAGAAAGGCGTTGGTACACAAAGGTATAATACAGTGACAAGAAAGTTGTTTATCATCTATGGATCCAGAGGGACAAAAAGAGGAAGCTACAGTAACCAGAACCCAAAAAGAGAGCATTATAACAGAAACAATGACATTTTTCTGAGGGAAAAATTTCATAGGGAGAGAACCAGAGCCAAAAGTATCCTAACTGGGAGTTGTGAAGGTGGCTCAGTGGTAGAGTGCTTGCCTTGCATGCATGAGGCCTTGGGTTCAATTCCTCAGCACCACATAAGCAGAAAAAGCTGGAAGTAGCACTGTGGCTCAAGTGGTAGAGCACTAGCCTTGAACTGAAGAGCTGGGGGACAGCGCCCAGGCCCAGAGTTCAGGCCCCATGACTGCCAAAAAAAAAAAAAGTATCTTAACTAGGCTGGGAATGTGGCTTAGGGGTAGAGCACTTGCTTAGCATGTATGACGACCTGGGTTCAATTCCTCAGCATCTCCAAAACAAAAAAATAACATTAATAAAATTAAAAGCAAAAACAGCATTATTTTTAAAGAAGGCTTTTTTTAAAGTATCCTAATTACAGCCCCCTTTATCTCTCTAACCCCCTATCACAGAGGCGCTCAGTTGAACTCAACTAAAAGCCGGAGAAGACAAAAGGGTCCCTTCCGTGGATGAAGCAGATACCAGAGTAGAGAATGGGAAAAAGTGAATCTGGACCCAGGAATCTACAGCAAAAAGCAAACGGCATTCACATCCCTCATTTTGGTCAGTGTTTGAAGACAAGTACATCTTAGAGTGGAATGTTTCACTTATTTATTCTAAACACTGGCCTGCGGAAAAAAGGGCACTCAGGAATGAGAACACATCCTTTGGTTGTAATGGTTTGGCCACAGGCAGACTGTTGTACCAGTGAAACTATTCCAGACAGACAGAAGAGCAGCATGCAATGGAACATTGGATCAGCTGGGTCCTTTCTTACCATTGGCAGGTAATCAACAGGCAGGGAGAACACCAATGAAAGAAAATTGAGTACTTCTGCTGCTGATGACATTTCAAAATTTTATTCTTCATTTATTATCCAAAAAGAGTGTGTTTAAAAATGTATATGTGACCTTCTTAATCATAAATTTGAAAAGACATACAGCAGATCCCTTGCCTCTTTTGGAGCTCTGTTCATATTGCCTCAGTAGGAAATAAAAAGGAAATCCGATAAGAGAATTAACTTAAAAAGTACAAATGAGCATGTATCAGAGGCTTTGATATTTCCTTGGGGGCAGAACTCCAAGCCAATCTCATTCTATTCAGGGTAAAATAATATAGAGAGGGTTGTCTTAGACACAAATCATTGGTTTCCGAAGGAATAATAATAATACAAAAGGTTTCACTGCTTCTGTGAAAAATGTCATTTTATAGAAATGCTTGGGTAGCTTTGAATTCCTGTGTTAAAAAATGAAAAAGTGAGCCTCTCTAAAACATATATATGTTTAAAAACTAGAAAGGTAAGCAGCTCTGTGTTACCATCATGAAGGATCTGAGATAATCAACTGATCAAGAGTGAAGATTTATTTTGGCTAACGATACTGGGGATTTCCAGTCCAAGATTTGGTGGCTCTATTTGGGCTTTTAGCAAGGGAAGTATATTGTAGAATATACATATCACAGAAAACTGCTCACTCATAACTTAGAAAACAAGAGTAGCTGGATTACCAAGGTCCTAAAGCATCTTTGCAGAGCATCCTTCCAATGATCTAAAGACTCTCATTAGGCTCCACCTCTTAGAGGTCCATGGCACCTTTCAGCCCTGCCATTTTGAGGACTAAGCCTTTTAACACATGGACCTTTAAGGGGAACGCTCATCTGAAGCATAGATAGCAACATCCTTAGTATTTAGCCCACAACGGACACTTACTGTGTATATCCATGTGATGATAATCCTAACAGTATTCTGGCAGTAGGGAAATACAACAACAAGGTAGAAAGGCATAAGATTTTAAAGGAAATAAAACACAAAACTAAAAGAGTCAAATATCAATTCTATCAGAGTTCAAATTTTTAAGTATTAAAAATGATCTCAGGAAAATGGATACCCATTCCAATTACCAAGTCTAATTTAACCCTTCATTTTCCCCTCAGGAGAGGGAAAAACCCAACCCTGAGAATAGGGTATAGAAGACTTTCAAATTATGGCCCAGACTTCATCTGAGCCTTACCTGCTGCATACACCTCCCTCTTATGCCTCCTTCCATAGCATATAGCATGAACTACTTTTTATTGCTTGCTGTGTCTGATTCTTCACTGGCTACCACCTCCTTATCCTTGCAAAAATCTTGAAAGGCTCAATGATATTTGAACATCACTCTTCGATACTTCCTGCCGCTCCTTGAACAGAATTGCCATTTCCCCTCTAGCTGCCTTATCCACGGAACAAATATTTACTGAGCACCTAGATGTGTCAGTCTAGTAGATGCAAGATCCTGATCTTCACCTTCATGAGACCAAGAAACTAATGGATGAGACAGGCATTAAACAGCTAAATGCAGAAACAGAAATCACAAAGATGATGAGGGCTAAGAGGAAATACTTGGAGCTGTAAGAGAGAGCTAATACCTGGCTTGAGCGAAGGTTTAGAGGTTCTGTCAGCTAAGCACTCTTCCATTCTTATCACAGTGACTCAACTCTCTCACCCACCAGGGTAAGAGCCTCTTGGGAAAAGGGCTGTTGACTCCTTCCACCTACTCCAATTTCTTGCTGAGTGCCTGGCTTATAGCCAGTGCTCAATAAATTTGTTGCGCAAATTTATATTTAAAAGTCTATAATTTGAATTTGAAGTGTAGAAAAAGATTTTCATCCTGCTCTGAATGCAAATTATAACTACTTTAAAAGTAGTTACATTCAAGGGTAAAAGAGAAAGAAAAAAACTGCATAAAATCAGTCTGTGCTCTGGATTATTTGTACCTAGAAATACTTTTTTTTCATTGTTATTAATAACTCATCATTTCTAGCCTGAAATGTTTTCAGAATTAATGGAATATTCACAGAAGTCACAATTCCTATCCCAAGCTCTGAGTGCACAGGCTGTTAGGGGATTAAAAAACAACTACCATATAATAGTCATGTGACTCATTATTTACTGTGTGGAATCTTCAGAGCCTTCAAGAGGCAGGTCCTTAATGATGTTCTGAACTTGGGAATTTGTTTCTGTAGTTATTTTGAGATTCTTACCTATTGGGTCATAGGATTTCACCAGCCAGGGGTACCAAGAACTGTAAAGGAGTAAGGAGAGCCTGACAAGCCTAGTTATTCTCTGCAGAGACATCTTTCCAGATCTGAAAAATGTGAAGACAACCATCCAGAGTATACTGCCTCTGACAGGAGGTGATGGCAGGAAGTAGCACTTCAGG